TCTCTCTGTAATTCTACCTCTCAAATAAATAAAATCTTTAAAAAATGGAAAACACTATAATTAGTAGTATAACACTGGAAGCTTTTTCTTTGAAATCAGGAACAAACTAAAAATGCTTATTATCTCTACTTTCAATTAGCATTGGATTTCAGGTCTTAGAAGGGCAAAAGGTGACAAAAATGTCATTTTCAGCTTATATAACTATGTACAGGAACACTTCAAAAGACCATATGAATATAGTGTTAGAATTACTAAAATTTATTCAAGTATTTTTTTATTTAATGAGCATAAATTTCCAAAGTACAGCTTATGGATTACAATAGCTTCCTCCCCCCCCTTAACTTCCCTCCCACCCACAACGCTCTCCTCTCCCATTCCCTCTCCCCTTCTCTTCACATCAAGATTAATTTTCAATTATCTTTAAATACAGAAGATCAATTTAGCGTATATTAAGTAAAGATTTCCACATTTTGCTCCCACACAGAAACACAAAGTGTAAAATACTATTTGAGTACTATAGCATTAATTAAACACCTAAGAGTAATTGTGTATTAATTACAGAGTTCAACCAATAGTTTTAAGTAGAATATAAAATGCAACTTTTGTATTGTTGTGGCTTCCCCCCTCAATCTCCCTCCCTCCCGTGGCCCTCCCCTCACCCACTCAGCTAAAGAAAAATAAACACCTCCACATAGAAAATTCTAAAATCATATGCAAAGACATAAATAAGACCTACCTAAATAGAGCAATAGACTATGTTTATGGACTGGAAGCCACAGTATTGCAGAGAAGTTAATGCTCCCAAATAGATTTATAGTTTCAATGCAGTACCAGTGAAAATCCTTACATGTTTATATTGTGTATCAGTGAACTTGATAAACTAATTCTAAAATATATGTGCGAGACCAAAGGGCCCAGAATAGTGAGGAACCACTTGAAGATGAACAAAGGGAAATAATTTAACCTTGTGAATTTTAAGACATACTCTAAAATTCTAGGTGTTTAAGGTACCATAACATTGACTCAGAGAGACAAGTGCAACAAAAAGAACAGATTTTTGCATAAATACACCCTACATACTAGACAGAGTTGAACAATATCCTTATTGTTTGCAACTAAATGTGTTTGCAATTTACAAAGTGATTAAACCACGATGTTTCTGCACTTTGAAATAGTATTTGGCTATCTTAAAATATCATTCAATTCTATATTGTGAATTAGAAATATTAATTCATTCAACAGATATTGCTGGTTAATTACTATATACCAGCTACTCAGATTTCTCATAAAATATATTACTGCGTTAGGAAACCACATTACAACATGGCATATGATTGTGATTTTTCTCCAACTCCCATCTTATGCAACATCAAAGTCCATCCCAAACCATGCCTCCTTTTAGCTTCTCATTCCTTTCCTTCTCTTCTCACTGTGCCAGGGGCACTGCTGTTCTTTGCTGTCCATAGAACACTAGACGTTCGTCTATCTCTGGGGTTCTGGACTGGTTGTTGTTTCTGCCTACAACTTGTTCCATCAGAAATTCTTGTAACCTCATTTCTTGGCAAATTAAAGTCTTTGTCAAATCATTCAACTTATCTTTTCATTACTATTAGCACTGACCACTGAACTTAAGCATAACACTATTACCAACATACATCCCCCCTCCCCATTTCCTATTTTATTGCCTTTTATAGTATCCATTACTTTCACAAATCCTATGTTTTTACTTGTTTATTATTATCTGAATTTCACATTGTATAGACATCTTAAGGGTAAAAATTTCTGTTTTGTTTATTGCTGTGTCCCAACACTATATCAATACTTGGAATATAGGAGGAATACACTATGTGTGTATTCAAATGCATAGAGAAAGCTCCAAATGCGTATCAAATTTTAAAGTAAGTCATTTCTGAGGAAGAATACCGTTCTCCCAGGGAAAACACAAAAAGGGAATCTGTCATGTTTGACTTCATAGTTTTCTGCTTTACTTAAATTATATACAAGAAAAAAGTCAGTGCTTTTCTGGGAATTATTGTTAGCCTACTAGTTAAGATGCACCTGTCCATATCAGAGTACTTGGTTTCTTTCAAAGCTCCAACTCCTGAATCTAGCTTCCTGCAAAAGAACAGCAAAGGCTTCCATAACTGAGTTCCTGACACCATATGTGAGACCTGGATAGTGTTCACCTCGCCCAGCTTGGCTCCAGCCTAGTACAGCTGCTGGGGCCATTTGGAGAGGAAATTGGGATGGGAGCATCCTGTCTCTCTTTCCTCAATACCACCTCTCCTTCTCCCGCACTTTTTTTAAATTTAGCTTATTTTGCATAATAGATCAAGTAAGATAGTAATATCCAAACCTTGAAAAACATCTACAATGAAAAAGTATGTCCTGGAAGACTTCAGTAGGAACTACTGGAAGCAAACTAACAGATAACCTATATGTAATTAGCATCTATACAGGAGGGAGATAAGGAAAGTGTCACTGACCTAAGATCAGACCCCTAAAAATGACCACAGGCACTCCTGGAAGCCAACTGGAGAAGAGCACCTGAAACCAGAAAGCCATTCACACACTCCAATTCACAGGGAAGCACAGAAATTCTGTGGCAAATCTGAAAAGGAGGGCACAATCTATTAGCTCTTGAAAGGAACCAGAGCTCCCTTCAGGAAAAATACTTGCAGTAAAGAGAATCTGCTGAGAGTTTGTTCCAAACTGAGAGAACAGGAGATCATAAGAGCAAAGGGAAAAGCAAGGTCCATTAGAAAGTGGCAGGGATGGAGCGCTGGAGGCAATCTCAAAATATCTAGAACCAGTTTTTTGTTTGTTTATATGTGATAGCAACAAACAAGAAGTCTCATGCCCTAGAGAATCCTCTACACCTGAAAAATTCAAGAATACTAATTTCAGGTTAAAAAGAAACAAGCAAAATCGATCACAATTCAATGTCACACAAAATTATAACACAAAAAAATAAGTTATAAAATAATATTCCTGTAATGCAAGTTTTCTAAAACATGACCAGAGGGGTAAAATGTATTTCTCCTATTTCTTTCTTTTTTTTAATTTTTAACTTTTATTTAATGAATATAAATTTCCAAAGTACAGCTTATGGATTACAATGGCTTCCCCCCCATAACGTCCTTCCCACCCGCAACCCTCCCCTTTCTTCTATTTCAAATTGTGCTGAATGAATTTAACAAATGATAAGAAAATATGAAGAATGTAGACCACAGTTAGAAAAACACAAGTGATTTGAACCTCAGAAAGAAATTAGAAATAAAACAATTTTTAAAACAATAAACTAGAAAGAACCCAGGAGTGAATAAACAACACACTATGCTTCAAGGAAAATAGAAGGTATAAAAGAGGGTACTTTAAAAAAATGAAGAAAGGCATTGAGTATCTAAATACACACAATAAAAATACCTGAAAAAAAACCAAAACAGTAAATTAAAACTAAATTGAATGCTTAGTATTTTAATAAGTACATCAGAATTTATAGAAATTTTCTGAAAATGAAAATGAGCTTACAAACTGAAAAGGAACATGATGTATTCAGAAAAAGTTACCCAGAACAACCAATACTGATACATATCTTAGAGAAATTACTGGACTTGGAAGAAAAAGAAAATTCCTTTAAGCATGTAGGCCAAAGGACTAACTCACTTAAAAGGGAAAGAAATGAATTATGTCATCAAAGTTTTAGGTAGTAATCCTTTATTCCAGAAAGAAATGAAATATAATCTATTCCACTCAAGAAACTCTATGTGAGCTAAAGATGTTGTATTAACCTGAAAAAATGACTTTCGCGAATAAGGGCTGCAGACCCTGTTGTCAGCATGCAAGAATTCAGGAACATCTCCTTGAGCATGTCCTGGATAATTTGCTAGACAGTAAGTATCAGATCATCAGAATGAGTGGAGAGAGAGACCCGAGGACTGTACAGAGTTCTCATAAATGCAAATGAGGAGACAGGTTTACAGCATTGTAGAACGTACACCATGCAGACAGAAGAGCTCTATGAAATGGAGGTGGGCGAGAAGAAGCACAAAGGAAACTGAGACTATGAATGACACCATCGGCTGTGATCAAACCATAATGACCTAAATCAGAGAGAGAACAAGAGGCATTAAAGTTACTAATTTCAGCAATGCTCTTAATAGGAAATGAATAGAAAATAAAAAAGTAATCATTACACAAAGATATTATTATACATTAGAGTGCAAACCTTATATTAAAAAAAAAAAACTTAAAAAGCATAGACACTGGAAACAGAACCCAAACCAAAGACCTCAGAGCAAAAAACATTTCATATAAGTTTGAAAATATAGTATTATAGTATGCTATCCAAAATAGTTGGAGAGGAACAAAAATATGCACAAAATCTGAAATCTAGGGAGGAAGTATTGGAATAATTACAAGGCATCTTTGTACATTATGTTGTGCATTTGACTTCTGGACCTATTTGTATAGTTTAAGTAGTTTTAAACTAGATTTAGTAATTTATTAAAAAAAAGTCCCTAAAAATAGAAAGCAAAAAGTCACAGGACAACATTACAATTATAGCTTTATGTGTCAGCATGAGAATTTATTCTATATTTGCAAGCAATGTCAGCTGTGAACTAAAAATAAGATTAACTTTTAAAATTTTTATTTACTTATCACTCCCTCAATACCCATAATAGCCAGTGTTGACCCAGGCCCAAGCCAGGAGCCTGGAACTCAATCCACATCTTCTACATATGTGTCAGAGACCTGTATAATAGAGAGGTGACCTGCTGCCTCCCAGGGTGCACATCAGCAGGAAACTGGACCAGATGCAGACGGAGGACTCAAACCCACGCACTTTGACGTGGGATGTGCACTTGGGATACAAGCAAACATAAAGAGTGCATGACTCACCTCCTCAACATTCAGTATGCACCAGGAAACAAATCCTAAATTGAATGACTCAAAGAAAGCTGATGTTCCTCATGCTCTCTCCTGCTTCATTTCTCTAGGAAAATAAAAGAGAGTCTCGAGTGTTTCCCTGTTAAACTGAATAACTTGATCCACATCCTGGCCCAAATGTCAAGCGCAAGCCCTGCCAAGCCTGCCTCACCTCCTTCCCCCCTGGAATCCTGTACACCGAGTACAACCAAGTTGATTCAAAGGGCAACGATTTTGGGATTCAGCAAGAAACGCAGTCACGTAAGTTGCCAGTCTGTCAGCTTGACTTAAATAGTACTAGGTGTCATCTCAGACTTCCTTCACTGCGCTACACATCCCTTCCTACAGGGTGGTTTTTTTTTACGGTGCAAATGAAGCATCAGTTACCATGTGAGCAGAAGTGCCGTTAAGAGAATGTTCTGAGGAAAAATCATAACCACTAAAGCTATTAATAGAGAACTATGAAAGAGAACAGTTCCTACTCTGTCGTAGAACATAAATCAAGAGCTAAGTAAAATCTCCAGAAGAAACTAACAGCAGAAATTAGTTTGTTCCCAGCACATAAGATTATGATATCTTTATATATTGTTCTTATGAGGTTTTTTTTTTCTTTAAACATTGCATCATTCAGATATTGTGATAACTTGTGGCAGAATGCCTTTTGCTTGCTTGGCTTATATGAAATCTGATTTAGAAGGTATTGCAAGTCATAGTGCTTGTCTCTTGATTTGTGCCTCTTTAATTTTCCACAGCTGTATCTGATCCAGGTAACACACGATAACAACGAGAAAAGCCTGACAGAAAAGTCATTTGACCAGTTCTCCAAACTTCATAGCCAACTTCAAATGCAGTTTGCACCGCTGGCTCTCCCAGAGTAAGGCACTGTTCTCTCACCATTACTTGTCCTTGGGATTTTCTGTTTGAGAGCAACGTAGCTCTGACTCCAGTGCCAATCAATCTGCCCCAGCAGAGACTCTATTGCTGTCAGAGTAAGGAATCTCTGTCTCATTAAACAGAACAAGGTTTGCGATTTTCTTTTTGTTCCAGCCATTGATTTTATAGGCAGAAAAATCCAGAATCTATTTGATTGTTCACCAATTGAGAAAATCATTTAATTTTCCTGTTTTTAAATGTAACATCTTAGATTTGTATTGTAAAAATAAAAATGCAGAACTAAATTGTATATAGCTTTCATTGAATAAATAACTGTAATAGGAAGCTTATTCTCCAGGCCAGGAAAAAAATAATCAATATCAGAATATTAATAAATCACTTGTTATCAATATTTGCTTTTAAGTGTTGCTAACCCTGCATTATCTAAATTTAATTTCTTACATGCATTTGAAACATTCATGAAAATTACTGTTCCTATTCATGCTACAATGGAAAAACCTATTTGCAAACTTCAAATATTATGAAAATAACTGCTGTTCAAATAAACCTTCTAAAATTCATCACATAGAACCAGCCAAATTGAATCATGGATTTCAGTGTCTAACACAAATATCTCTTAACTGTAAAGAAGTGACTGTCCCAGAAATTACAAGATTTCCATTTAGATAAATCAATGTTATTTTATCTATACTAGGATTTTTGTTAAGTAACCATCTCTTTGAAGATATGTGTTCATCCTTGACCTGATGTACTTCATGAATGAGAATGTTTTTCTTAGTTTTCAGGATTTAGTTACTTTCAAAAAATATTAAAAAGCAAAGCTATTAATGGATGGAAGGATATTATGCAATACTGAAAACTGACGAGGTCACATGAAAATAACTATACTTGCAGATGTCACAGAGATTTTCAAATGCAGATGCTTTAAGCATCAGAAGTCGAGAAATTAGAGTGGGAGCACGTTTAAGAGTCTGAGAAGGAAGTAAAGTCATTCTGGAAACTTTGAGAGGTGACATCAGGCTTGAGAATTACTAAAAAGAAAATCTAACAGAATAAATGAGAAAAAAAGAGTTGTAGGGAAAAATTTCAAAGTTCAGCTGGAAATACCAAATTTGACATCAGTGGTTACAATCAGATCCTATTAATCATTTCCCAATATAAATCAATCCCTGTTAATTGGTTGTCCTTATGGTTTCATAACTTACATATTAGTGCAATCTAAAGACTCAGGCCAGATGAGAGCATGTTATTGGTTGAAACATTTAGTGCAGTATTGTTTTTAGTGAATGCACAAGAAATAATATATTCTGAACTCTTTGAAAATCATTAATTTCATGGAGAATTTGTGAAGCCCCCACATGTATTTAAAGGACAAAATGTGTGGTCTGGCATAAATAAAGCAAGAAATAACAAATTCAATTATTACAACTATTAATACAGTTAAAAGACCACAAATGTCCCCAGCCATGCTGATGAAACTCCCAGGGTTAACCACTCACATAATGGCATTTTAACATGGTTTCACTGGCCTTTCCGTTGGATGTAGCTCAAACCTTGTGAACAATCCTGCAATGAAAAGGCCAATATTCAAACTAATGGAGATTTTTTCTTTTAAAACAGGTTTCCTCACTGGTGGCATTTACCTTTTACAAACTCAGATCACAAAAGATTCAGAGATCTAAATCATTACATGGGACAGATATTAAATGGATCCTACAAAGTTGCAAACGTATGTCCTATTTAAGATATCAACTATTTCATATATTACTGGAAATATATATATATATATGTCTTCATATGTGATACATGTTCTGTTACCATGTTTATTTATATGTTACTACTAATTTTCATAACTAAATTGAGGTGAGCATTTTTGATACATTAAGCCTTAGAGCTGCTGCAGACTTTTTAAAAATAAAATGGTAATGAGTTCAATATCCAGTCAAATTTTGGACTTTCCTGACATTTCCAACAAGAAGCAGTGAGTGGAGTGGCATTTCAATATTCAAAATATTTACAAAAACCTTCTCTAGTTCAGTTAGTCAGTGAGTATGTATGTCTAATTATGTGTAACACCAGGACTAGGGACCCTGGAGCTGCTACAGAGGTATAGAATCTCAGCCTCAAATAACTTCATTGAAGTAATACGTGAAAATTCCATGCTATAACGCACCCTAGAGTTTTTGAGGGGTAAGAATTTCTTCTGCCACAACAATCCAAAGGCTTGAAGAAGAGAACACATGGGTTGGGCCTCTAGGCCATAATATGTGGTAGACTGGGTGTATGTAATGCATTTCAGCTTTGGATGTTTTCAAACTGTGATGAGTTCATCAGAGCATATGCTAATATGTAAGTCGAGGAGCATACTCACTTGCGTACATATATAAACATTTATGTAGACATGTGACACATATACATGTACATGGAAGAATGAGACTTGAAGGACTTGCCATACATGACTATGAAAGTCTGAATCCAAAGTCTGTGGGCTAGGCTGCAAGATTGGAGAGCTAGGGAGGGATGAGGCTCACCCAGCTGGAAGGGGATCTGTGTCAATCAAAACCTACTGATGTGTTCAACTTGCCAAAATAGAAAACTTCAGAATAACCTTTGGCCAAATATAGGGGCACGGTGGTCCCACCAAGCTAGCATAGATAAGCAATCATCACAGGAGCAGTACGGGGCTCACTACAGTGAGAAATAGGAGGTCCCTCACCATTCTGGTAGAGCTTGGCTCTCCTGTGCAGACTAGAACTGTGTTCCTCTATATTTTTTAGATTTTTAAACTGTAAAACGCAAACATTCATCCTCAAAGAATCTACAAAAGAAAATTGGAAATTTCAAAGATCAGTTGTTAAGAGAACTCCCATGTAACTAGGCAGTACTTTCAAAACATGACTGGAAATTCTTGGCCATAAGAGGAGGAGTTTGGATTTCCTCCTGTAGGATTGCAGAGGACTTGTATGATTTCCTCATAAAGTAGAATAAGATGGGACTGATCTTTATGTCTTCCAAGTTAATAGCATGACCTTCTAATGGTTTCTCCTGGGATAGTCACTGTGGAAGCCTTCAGCTACCATCTGCCAAACTGAGCTTCCCTGAAGCTGCCAGACAGAAAAACTACAAAGATAAAACAGAGAGCTGTCCATGAAACAGCAACTGTATTAGTTTCCAGCTGAGATTTCAGACCTAACCATCAAATGATTGCAGACTTACTAGAGATCTCAAGCAGAACATCCTAGCTGAGCTCTAACAAACCCCACAACTGTGAGACAATATCACAATTGCTGGGGCAGGCATTGTAGCACAGTGAATAAAACCACCGTGCGGGAGGAATAGATCCCATACTGGAGTGCCAATTCGAGTACCAGCTCCTCTACTCCCCATCCTCTTTCCCCCTAATGCACCTGGAAGGCAATGGATGATGGCCCAAGTACTCAACTTCTTTCCACCCACCCAGGAGGCTCAGATGGAATTATTGACTATTTTATTCTGGCCCAGCCTGGCTGTTTTGGGCAGTTGGTAAATGAAACAGCTAGTGGAAGATTTCTCTCTAAACCTTTCCAATAAATTTGTTAATAATGATGATGACAACTCACTATAAACCAATAATGTAGTGAAAGCACTTTTTTAAGTTCATGTATTTTCATTGTTGCTCATTATATACATTATTATTCATCTGTAGATTTTTCTCTGCATAGACATTTAGAGTTGTTCCAGTGTGTAGTAATTACGGATACTGCTGTTATAATCATTATTTTACCTGGATGACTCAGCACACATATGCTTTCCATATACCTAGAAGTAGAATTCCCAGATTGTAGGATCTACTTATCTTTACAACATGATAGATAAGGACCAATTTATTCTCACTTGCAAAAAATCAATGTTCTGAATTTCCATAACTTTTCTATACTGGTATTTTCAGTTTTAGTAATTTTTGGCCATTCTGGAGGGAGTACATCTCTTGTTGCATGTCTTGTTTGTATTTTCCTTTTACTAACGAGCTTGAACATTTGTTCATTAATTGGCGGGTATCACTTAGATACCCTCTTCAGTAAATTCAAGGTCATGTATCTTATTTTCTATGAACTATTGGACATTGTTTTATTGATCACATTTCTTCATATGTATGGGTAGAAATTATTTGTAAAGACTTTCTCCCATTCTGCATCTTGTCATTTTGCTCTTTATCATAACTTTTGATTGTCAGAGCTCTTAGTTTATTGTTGCAAATCATATTATTTTACTGTAGAGTTAGAGGAAAATACCCTACTCTAATGTCATAAAAGTGTGAATTTATTAGGATAATCAAGGACTTCTCTACTCTATGAAGGTGATTTACATCAATGGCTTCCATCATTTTAAATCTAATTTCTAATTTTAAATTTGCTTCAGTGGAAAAAAACCCACATGTACACAATGTTTTACCATTTTTGTGTTGCTGGGTTTAATATAACATTTTCTTCAGTATTTGTTTTCACCCTTGTACATGAAAGATTCACCTGGAGTTTCTTACAATGTTCTTCCCTGCTAAGTTTCAAAATCAAAGATATGCTGGCTTTGTAATAGTTGGAAAGCATTTTTGCTTTTATCTGACTCCCTGGAAGATCTTGTATAAAATTTTTTTTTTAATAATTGGGAATGCCATCTAGATCTGGATTTTTTTAGTGGTGGGACAATTCACATCTTCTATTCTTGCTTGAGCCATCTATTTATTAACTTATTTTTCTAGCGATTTGGACTTATTGACATAAAGTTAATAGTATTTTCACATAACCTTTAACATATATAGTTTGGAGTGCTGCCTTCTCTATTCCTGATGTATATAATTTATGATTTATCTTCCTTTTCATCAGCATGTCAGTATTTGATCAGTATTTCAAGAGGAGTATAAAATTCATTAATCTTTGCAAAGAATGAAATGTGAGGTTTTGATCCTCTCCATTGTATTTTTTTGCGCTTATTTTTGTTCATTATTTTCCTCCCTCTCCTTCCTTTGGTTATAATTTACAATCTTCAATTGGGGTTGTATTTTTTTATTTGAAAGGCAGATTTAGATTTTATATATATATATATATATATATATATATATATATATATATATAGAAGAGAGAGAGAGAGAGAGAATATCTTCTATCTGCTGTTTAACTCCCCAAATGGCTACAATACCCAACACTTGGCCAGGCCAAAGCCAAAAGCCAGGAGCTCCTTACAGGTCCCCCACATGAGTGCAGGGGCCCAAAGGACTTGGGCCATCTTATGCTGCTTTTCTGGGAACATTAGCAGGAAGCTGGATCAGAAGGCTAGTACTCCAACCAGCTCCCATTTGGGATGCCTGCATGGCAGGCAGCCCCTTAACCTGTTCTGCCACAATGCTGGCCCCTGGTGTTGTATTTTCCTCTATTTGGTCTTGAGGTCACTTTCACACACAAACTGGAGAGCTGCCCTGAGTGGCTCTAGGAGATATGGGTTGATGTTTACAGTGTTCCTTTCACAGGGTCATTGTGCTTCCTGGCAGCAGTCTAATGCCTGTTTGCCCATGATCAGGTTCTCTCTCACAGGAAATTTGTTTGCACTGCAGGTGCTCTTGTGCCTCTTGTCTGACCTCTGTCTGGCTTATGTGTACCAAGATAGCCACTCACTTGGAGAGCCTTGACCACCTCCCAAGGCCAGTGGGAATGGAGGTGGCCTTCTTGACCTCATTCAGCCCGTAAGGTCAAGAGTGAGAGAGTAGGAAGGACTTGTGGATCAAAGCTTTGATTACAGTTCAGTGTATCCACACAGATTTTTCTCAGGGAGCTCTGTTTATTTTATTTTTGTTTTTGACATGTAGAGTTAGACAGTGAGAGAGAGACAGAGAGAAAGGTCTTCCTTTTACCGTTGGTTCACCACCCAAGTGGCTGCTACAGCCTGTGCATTGCGGCTTGCACACTGCGCCGATCTGAAGCCAGGAACCAGGAGCTTCCTCCTGGTCTCCCATGCGGGTGCAGGGCCCAAGCACTTGGGCCATCCTCCACTTCACTACTCCCGGGCCACAGCAGAGAGCTGGACTGGAAGAGGAACAACCAGGAATAGAACCTGGGGTGCCGGTGCTGCAGGTGGAGGATTAGCCTAGTGAGCCGTGGCGCCGGCTTCAGGGAGCTCTTAGTGGTGGGTTTAAAGCAAGCAGCCACAAGCTCCATGGAAGTCATATGATGACCAAGAGGCAGTCACCGTGGCCTAGCTGCAGTCAGTGGCAATCAATTCCATTCTATTTAACATTAAAACTTCCCACTTTATCCTTTGTTTCATTCTGTTACTCCTGTTTTTTTTTTCCTTATTTTCTCTCTCCATTCCTCATTCTTCTATCTTCTGAGTTTACTTCTGTGTTTAATGCACTATTAAATCCACTCTGAGTTCTTAATTTTCAATATATTTTTTGAAGAGTCAAATTCTGCAGTCACCAGGAATGAGAGTTTAGAACTACAATGATCACCCAAGCCACCTCTCAGTTTCCAGAGGTATCTGCGCTGCGGCTTCCCCACATCAGTTTTGTATTCTACTACAACCCTTCTGTAACAGACTACTAAGTCTGTTACGATCTAAGTATCAGTGTGTCTAAGTCTATGGATCTAAGTCTGTGGTCACTTCCTACCTAAAAGAAGCATTTAAGGATTTGTTTCATCTTTGGTACTACCCAAATCCTTAATCTGTCCTTTCCTGATGGCCAAAAGAGGTCTCTTGAAG